AGTTGAGGAACTGCGTGTCTCGAGAGGCGTTTCTAAGGAACAACTTCTCAGATCGGCACCAGAGTTGCTAACTAGGGATGCTCTCATGTGGTTTAGGACACAACATTTTTCTTCTTGGGAGGAACTGACACAGGCCCTGAGGAATGCTTTCAGGCCCGTGGATTACGAGAATCTCTCATGGGAAGATATCCGGAGACGCACCCAAGGACCCAAAGGAAAAATAATTTGCTTCATATCGGCCTTGGAGAACATGTTCAATCGTTTATCTGATAATAAACCTTCTGAGGCCACTAGGGTCAGACTGATCCGCAGAAATCTCCTGCCCAGTATTCAGTCACAGTTGGCACCATATGACATTGAGTCTATCGCGGAATTGACTCGACTTGGGAGAGCAATTGAAGAGGCTGAAATGGTAGCCCAGAGATATGTCCCTCCTGTTACAAACTACCGGCAGTTGTTAGAGCCAGATTTGGCATATCGGAGATCCCACCACTCCACTCAAGTAGCTGCTATCGACCCACCTAGGTCAGTTCGTACGGGAAATAATGATTCTGCTCCTTCTAGGAATTTACTTAGCCAGGAGGACCCTGTTAGTATGGCTGTCGCATCCTCTAGTCTACCATCACCCCCAGTGTCAGAGTGTTGGAATTGTCAGGGTGTGGGACATTATTTTGGCTCATGCGAAAAACGATTCGAGGCCTTATCTCCAAGTATCTATGTTTGGTATCAACTTTGTAGGTTTATTGGACTCAGGTTCTACGCGAACGATTTTAGGGGGGCCAGGATGGAGGCAACTGAAGAGTTTTTGTGATCTAAAGTCTACTACTTCAGTCGAATGTACTGTGGCTAATGGTGAATCATGTGCCGTGGCCGGCTGTATTTCTCTACCATTGCAGTTAGGTAGTCGCACAAAAATAATTGAGGTACTAGTTGTCCCTTTACTGCCTCACCAGTTGATTTTGGGTATTGACTTCTGGGTCAAAATGGCAATTATTCCAGATTTCTATTCGGATGAGTGGACATTTCGAAATGAGGCGGATATAGCGAAGGACGTTGAGGTATTGGCCATTAATTCTAGGGATACTTTGACCGAGGCACAGCAGAAAAGCTTAGATCATCTCATTAAATCGACCTTTGATGATATGGGGGATAAACTAGGATGCACTACCCTCGTGGAGCATGTAATAATCACTGATTCGCCGCCGATTCGGCAACGTCATTGGCCTCTGTCGCCCGCTTTGCAAAAGCAAGTCCACGAAGAGCTCGATAAGATGCTCGCAGATGGAGTAGTTGAACCCTCTAGTTCATCTTGGGCATCCCCGATTCTCTTGGTCAAGAAGCCGGATGGGCGATACAGATTTTGCGTGGATTTCCGCAACCTAAATAAGGTTACCAAAAGGGATGCCTACCCACTTCCGTTCGTCTCTGCTCCGTTGGACAAACTAAGAGACGCCCACTTCCTTACAACGTTGGACATAAAATCTGCCTATTGGCAGTTACCATTGTCAGAATCTTCCAAGCCGCTGACTGCGTTTGTGGTACCTAATCGAGGGCTATTTCAATTCAGGCGGATGCCAATGGGGCTCTACAATGCACCCGCGACTTGGCAGAGGTTTATCGACAGGGTCGTGGGGGTAGATTTAGAGACGTATGTGTTCGTGTATCTCGACGACGTGATAATATGTACTCCCACTTTCGAAAAACACCTCGAGATCCTCCAGGAGGTCCTCCATCGACTGAAAGCGGCAGGTCTCACTCTTAACCGGGACGAATGTAACTTTTGTAAGCCGGAGCTTCGATATTTGGGTTACATTGTTAATGCTTCGGGTCTAATGGTCGACCCTGATAAAGTGGCGGCAATCCTTCAGATTCCAGCTCCCACGAATGTAACGGAAGTGAGGCGACTCGTTGGTCTGGCCTCCTGGTACAGAAGGTTTGTTCCGAACTTCTCGTTAGTGGTTGCTCCGTTGTGTGAGCTGACGAAAAAGAACAAACCCGTTGTATGGGACAACGCCTGCAGTAATGCATTCACTGCCGTGAAAGAATACCTAGTCTCCGCTCCAGTTTTAAGTTGCCCGGACTATGACCTCCCCTTCTGCGTCCAAACTGACGCTTCGGATTATGGCTTGGGGGCGGTGCTAACTCAAACTCATCCCGATGGCGATAAGGTGGTGTGATACTTAAGCAGGTCATTAACCGCGAATGAGCGCAAGTTCAGCACTACAGAGAAAGAGTGCTTAGCAGTCTTATCTGCCATTGAGAAACTGCGACCGTATATTGAGGGTACCAAGTTTACGGTGATCACCGACCACTACAGCCTCAAATGGTTAAATAATATCAAAGACCCTGTTGGTAGAATTGCTTGTTGGGCCGTCAGGCTCCAACAGTACGACTTTGATATTGTTCACCGACGTGGAAGCGAACATTTGGTGCCTGATGCCCTTTCTCGGTCGGTGCATGCGTTGGACTCGGTTACCGTTGACGCGCCATCGACCGCAGGGAAAGATCAGTGGTACGTAAACTTGTGTCAGCAAGTCCAGGATCGGCCGGCCCAATTTCCGCTGTGGCGGTTTGAGAATGGTCAATTGTTCAAGAGGGTCGAGCGTAAGTATCCTGAGTTGATGGACGAGACCGAAGAGTGGTTGATCGTAGTTCCAAAAGGAGACCGTAGCGAATTGATCCGGAAATATCACGACCCCCCAACGGCTGGTCATTTGGGAATCGCCAAGACGACCTCCCGGTTGACCACCCGCTATTACTGGCCAAAATTGAAAATGGATGTGGCAAGATACGTCAACCGATGTCACGTCTGCTTGAGTATTAAGCCGTTGCAGAAAAAGCCTGCCGGGTTGATGCTTAGTGTAGCACCTACGGCTTCTCGACCATGGCAGATCGTCAGCGTTGATATCGTAGGCCCTCTTCCGAGGTCGTCAGCCGGTTACTGTTACATACTGTCGGTGTGTGACATCTTTTCCAAATTCATTCTTCTGTTTCCTCTTCGTACCGCGAAGGCAGCTATCGTGGCTAAAACGGTGGAAGACCACGTTATTCTGATTTATGGGGCACCTAAGAAGATCATTTTGGATAACGGAGTTCAATTTAGGAGCAACTGCTTCAAGGAAGTGATGAGAATGTACGACATCCAGTTGGGGTACATCTCCTATTACCATGCGCAGGCTAACCCCGTGGAGAGGGTGCATCGGGTCATCAAAACGATGCTCACAGCCTATGTGTCGACCAACCATAAGGCCTGGGACCAATACTTGGCAAAAGTCGGTCGTGCCATCCGTTCAACCAAGCACGACGCCACCCAGTTCACGCCGAATTTCGTGGTATTTGGGCGAGAAATATATCTTTCTGGGGAAGAAGTTCACCCGTTATCGCATCAGTTATCTGGTTCTGATTATAATGTTCGACTGCGGTCGGAAGCGCTTGCGAAAGTTTTTCAGGAAGTCGCCAAACGCTTAGCAAAAGCATATGAGCAGAGTCGGACGAAGTACAATCTGCGTCGTAGGGACGAAAAGTATCATCTGCAACAAAAGGTTTGGTGTCGAGAGTATAAGATTTCCGATGCAGCGGAAGGATTTACCTCTAAACTTTCACCGAAGTTCCGAGGCCCACTCACGATCATCAAAGTGGTATCTCCCTGGTCATATGAGTTGGCTGACTCGAATGGACGACCTGTAGGCACATGGCACGCGAAGGATTTAAAGGCCCATCCACCCGACACTGATGACCCTAGCGAAGAAGACGAGGTTTAGACGGTTGAGTGTCTTGGGCAAAATTATAAAATGTTGAGTGTGATTTCCTTTAATTTTTTTTTATTCATTTTTCTTATTGAAACAAGTTAAAGTTTTTTTTTATAAAGGAAAAAAAACTTTTTCCGGGAAAGGGGGGTATTGTTACGGGTTCAAATTGGTACAGGGTGGAGTATGATATAAGTCAAGTACGTCCTGAGTGAAAATAGTCGTAGTATCAAGATATTTATTCCGTTATTGTACAACTCAAGTGTGTTTCGTTGATATTATGGTGAATCAGTCGTGGTGGTATCTGGAAAGCAAATATTAGTTAGTCTGGAAACGAAATCTCACAATCCTTCAAAATAACACCTCTGGAAGATCGATTAGCAATGGTTTCCAGTGCTTCCTAGGTTGTTTATTGCGTGACTTGGAAGTCTGTTAGTATCCATGGGGTTTGTCTGGAAGAACCTAAAAGTAAACATTGGCTAGAATCAGCTGTTGCTCATGTTTCAAAACATTACCTCTTCTGCTAGATTGTCTGGTAAAATCTGTCGATCTGTGAACTTGGCCTTGACATTGACACTGAAAAGAGTGAAAATTGGAGGGATTTTGGGAGAGATTGAGGTTAGGGGGTTTTGCATGTGCTTGCAACAATTTCCATCGCATTTTGCGGATTTTCTTGATTTTGGTCAACTAAGTAAAACATTGTAGTAATCTAGTGATTCTACGCACTATTTGTGGATATTTAGTTTTACTTTTCGACCAGTCTCCCAAACCAAAGTGTTATCATCACGAACCATCTCAAAGGCCACACGCCATCCAAGGTAGGTCCACACGGATTGTATATCTAGACCAAATACATCGGTAGTAAGGTACCTGGTCTTCCATTGCATTGCAACAATCATATTTTTGGGCCTTCTTGTTGGTATACGTAGATCCCTCCTCTGCTACAAAATTTCGGAGTACATTGAGGATCCACCTGTAGTGTACCATACCACCAGGGAACACTCATCATCAAGAGGTTTCCAGTAGCAGTCAGCTGGATTGCTGTAGGGTGATACCTGACCCACTTCCTGGTGGAACGTTAGTTCCTGTTGAACGTGTCACTGGATTGCTCAGATAAGCCCTAGTCTAGTCACTTCTGTTGTGAGGCATCTTCGGGTTTCGAATACAGAACTGTTCTAGAATCGTTCTTGAACTGCGCAGAACTAGTGCGCAGTCGTTTCGAATCCTAGGACTGTTTCAGAACGGTTCACGCATTATGAAAACCCGAACGCGGCATGAAGACTGAAAGAAGAGAAGACTGAGAAAAGAACAACCATAATAACCTCTATTTAGGATTTGTGAAAAAACAGCCGTTTCATTTTCATAAATCTGATAAAATTTCATTCAAATTATGGAAATGTCAGGTGGAGGTGAGTACATATTATAATGGTTCCCTATTTGGATATCTAATATTATTTTTTATTCAGATTTCAGTATGGAAGAATTCATCTGCATTCAAAAAGAAAATCTTCAGACTGAAGATAAATATTTTAATAGGGAAAGAACTCTGAAGCTCCTTGAGCTCTACAAATTATATAAAAAAAGAGTAGGCACCTTCGAGGTAAAATCTATGAAGAAATTATGGGAAGTAGTTGCAAGAGAAATGTCTAACCAATATAAAATCACTATTTCCTCCAATAAATGTGAAAATCGATTCAAAGTATTAGAGAGGACATACAAAAAGGTTATTGACAATAACAACCAAACAGGTAGAGGGAGAATGAAAAACTTTGAATTTGAAAGCGAAATGGATGATATTTTTGAAAGAAAAAAAAATATTCGACCAGCAGTACTCTTATCCAGTGATAGAACTTTTAGGGAAAAATGTCCAGAACCTTCAAGTTCTACTATGATTCCCTGCATTTCTATTCCCGATGATCAAATACTCATTGATGAGCCCTCCAGTTCTTCATCACAAAATCCCCCACAGATAGATGCAGCTCAAAAAACAATATCACCAGGGAAACGTAAACGTGTAAGTGTTCCTAGCTGCACTTACCAGAAACGTAATGACATTTTGATAGAGCTTAAAAATGATATAAAGCATTTTTATGACAGAAAAGACAAAAGAGAGCAGGAAAAGCTTGATATTTCCAAAAAAAGGCTACAAGAAAAACAAAAGAAAAATGAATTACTAGGGGAGTATATTCAATTTTTGAAATCAAGCCAAAATAAAGATCTTCTGAATAAATAATTGATGATTCTCAAGCTAGTGTATTATCTTTACATATGAATTTGTTCCAGGGTTCCTTTTTTGTTTTGTTGAAGTTTATTGTTCGTTTTGTTTTTATATTTTTCTATTTGGAATGCTCATTAGATGAGATATTTTTCATGTTTATTTTTTTGTAGTACAGGGTTGAGCAAATTTATGATATATTCAGTTTCAAAAGACCAATTTGCTCAACCTAGTACCTACACCTTTTGTACCTGACTGAATTATTGTGTTATTAGGAATAAAGCTAATTTATATTTATTATATCTCAAATATAAAAAATCTCATGTTAATTTGAGATTCTGTATTGAGATCTTTTAGCTTATAATATTTCTTGTATCTACTCTACTAGTACAGGAATTATAATATAATTAAATCAAAATGTAATGTTTTATTGAAGTATGGGTATATGAAAAAGTTACATTTCCATGCAATAAAAGAGATACATTTAATTTTATCAAAAATTGCACAATAGTCATATGTCTAATATGGCAGCTATATAATTTCTGTAATTCACACCAATTTCATTCCTCTCATCATTTTCATCATTATCATCAGCTTCATTTCCAATATTTTCTTCATTATTATTCTGCTGCAATTCGTTGAATATCATATCATCCATGCACATATTATGTAAGACACAGCATGCTCTTACGAAGTGGCAAATAAATTCTATTTTTCTGCTCTTCAGATGGTAGAGCTGACGAAATCTTTGCTTGAGAAGCCCAATTGTATGCTCGACGAATACTCTGCAATGGCTAAGTTTTTTATTATATTTTTTTTGCACATTTGTTACATTCCCATTATCTTTGAAAGGAGTTAATAAATTCCTTAGACAAGGGTAGGCACTGTCACCTAAAAGAACATAATCTCTACATTTCTCTGCCAAATTTTGGGCTAAAGGGCTAGTCCTAAAAACTCTAGCATCATGAACACTTCCTGGATAGCCTAAGAATACATCTCTTATTTTCTTGGAGTTGTCACAAACAACTTGCACCTGGAACAATGATTATATATGATATACAATATTCATATCTGTGGAGAAGCATATTTGTATAATATTCCATATCATTAAATTCTTTCTCATTAGAGGGGAAAAGGGGATATGTAATAAAATAATTACCTGGATAGAATAATATTTCTTCCTGTTCAAATATGATTCTGCATCATCCATAGGTGTGTCAATCCGTATATGAGTGCCATCTATGCAGCCAATGGCATTAGGAAAACCCATCTCTGCAAATCTCTCTGAAATATCTCTGCATTCCATAGCTGATGGCCAAACAATGAAGTTGCTTGACATATTTGAGAGAAAAGTTGCCACATCATGAACGATTCTGTGGAGTGTGCTGACAGATAAATTGAACCTATCTGCCACATCTCTAAATGAAGTTGATTCATTGCTGGCAAACCATAAAAAGGCCAAAATACATTTCTCACCACCAATTCGTTTAAAGCCTGTATCTTTATTGGAATAATATTCTGAAGCTTCAAACTCTCCTTTGAGTCTATTCACAATATATCTGGAAACCCTGTAAAGAAAGGAAGAATACTGTAATATATAATATGAAAATTTTAGGAAGATTATTCAATATGTGAATATATTCCATCATACCATTTCTAGCTAGATTTTCAACATGTTGTACCTTGTACCCACATGGCACAGAGCACATACATGAATTTCGATACCCACCTGAAATGTTCAATGAATTGTCTATCTGAATATAATGGCACAGTCTCCTCAACATATCCTTCATTTTTCGGTTTGTCTAACAAAAGTTCGGGAATTATCAGATTAGGTACAATATTTTCAGCAACTTCAGCAAGGAACTCTTCACCACTGCTTCCTGAGGACGATGAAGAACTACTACTATCAAATAATTGTACTAAATCCATGATGAATGAAAATATTGAAAGGAGCAATAAACAGCAAAATAAACAAAAATATAATTTATACACTTCTTTCTTCTTTGAACTTTGAAGTTATGTTTATGTACTTATGTGATATGTGACATATGACGTTATTGACGTTACAACAGACAGAATCCAAAACTAAATGAGAATGAGCATGCGCCAAAAATAATCCCAGAACGGTTCACGCTCGAGAGCAGCGGTGGGACTCTGTAACTCAAAGCGAAAGCAAAAGCATGCGTAACCGAATGCTATCGCTTTTTTGGTACTCTGTATCGATATTCGGATTAGATCGGTAATGCCGAAGTTGTATTCGGAAGCAAAGCAAAAGCGACAAGATTTCGGCGGCGTGATCTGCGCGATTGTGCTTTTATCTCTTTCCTTTCAGTTGGTGTTTCACAATTTCGTCAATATTCTTGTTGAGGTTTGAGGTTAGATCGCATTAGATTGTTTATTTTGTTTGAATTCATAGTCTCTCGCTCAAATTTTATATTCAGTTTATCACTTTATCAGTATTATGAATAAGCGATTGAAAACAAATCCCTGCCAATGGAGTCGGTTTTTAGATTTTGCTGAGAAGAATCCTGTGGTTCTGACGAAAAAAATGGAAGGCCCCTTTGGTAGGGAGAAGTACAACAAGTTGTGGACTGAACTGACCAGCTCTTTAAATAGTATGGGGTATATAGTGAAAACCACCGAGAAGTGGCAAAAAGTGAGTATAATCCTTCAGAATTGAAAGGATAGATAGTATTTTATGATTTTTCTACTCAAATCTGTGGCCCCTTCACTCAATCATTAATTGTTGAAGGCTGTGGCTGACTGGAAGGGGAAAGTCAGGACAAAAGCAGCTGAAATAAAAATTGAGCTGAAGAAAACAGGTGGAGGAAGTCCAGCAGGAAAACAACTTTCTGAAACTGAAAAGAGGTTGATAGGAATCATGGGATGGACATCAATAAGGGGAGACGGAACTCTCGAGCTTGGATGCCCCTCAACCAGTACTGTGAGTAAAGTTCACAGTAATCTCTTGTTTGAAATGTTGAAGGTACACATTGGTCTGAAGTGAAATTTTCAACTATTTTTTTTTTAGATTCCTGAACAAATCCCAGAAACTCAGATAGAGTTTGAACACAATTATGACTTTAAAACAATGCCTCCGTCTCAAAGGAATGTATATATCCCACCACCACCATTAATTGGTATATCATCATCATCTTACATTAATATGGATAAATCTATAGTGTCTGAGACAGCTAAATATGGACCCAATTCCACCTCAACACCACAACATTCTCCTGTGGATAACGAAAATATACCTATGCCTGTGGAAGTGAAGAATAGCAGAAAACGTAAACTGCCTATTAAAAAAAAAACTTTCATTTCACAGAAGCGTTCTAACACTGTCAATTTAGAAAATATGCATAATGAAACACTAGGCATATTAGGAGAAATAAATTCAAACTTGAAAAGACTGGGTGATTCTCAAGAGGAACTATGTGGAATCCATAATAAAATTTTAGATGTCCTATTGCATACTAAATGAATATATCAAAATATATTCATTTCATATTAGTAAATATGTTGAATGACAGATAGAGAAGTGGAACCATTTTTCTATTGAATTTTGTTTGTTAACTAATTTTTTGTACAACTGTCAAAAATCTTGCATCTCTGCACCAACCTTATATTTTCAACTATGATAGTAAATACTGTCTGTAAATTATTTGGAATTTTCTCCTCGTTTCTATAAATAAAATTATGGGTAGGCATTATTATTTATAGAAATGAGTAGAAAATCCCAAATAATCTACAGATATGATGAGTAATAAGAGTTTGAATAATTTCAATTTAAAAGCAAGAACCTTTTCCACCTTGCTGCTGATTAGAAATACAATCGAGAATGAAATGCTTTTTTGTTACTAACACCAACACACTGTCCTTTATATTTCTTTCTGCTATGGTTGCAGATTTTCAGACAGTTGTACAAAGAATGTTTTGTAAATGATACTAACCATTGTGATGAATGTACCTTTTTCGTGATAAGATTTTGTTTGCCTCTTGTTAAGATTTTCACTATTTATTGTGGAAACTAATTTTGTGATGAAAGTACCTTTATTTTATTAATGAGAAAAACTGTTTTTTTTCTTATGAAATCATATATTTTTATTTTTTTTATTTTTATGTTCAAATTGGGAATGATTCTGTTTTTGTGAATATAATTTATTGATCAAAGTTCTCTTACTATGAACTTTGTGAAACAGAATGTTCATCTACTCTTAATAAATGTTTTTGTTTTCTTAATATATGTACAGTGTGGTCATTTGAATGTGCAACATAATATGTTGCACACTCAATATTATGGGAATTTTCTTAATTAATTGCACAATCAAAATACAAATATGTATTGCCAAAGCATATTTGATATTCATATTAAGCTCACTCATAATGGTTGCAGGTTAAACAGCATACAGAGTAGGTCAAAAAATATAAAAGTGTACAAGAGTAAAGTACTCTTATTTTAAAAAATTGAGCAAAATGTTATTGAGAAGTGTTATTTAGTATTGAAAGTTATGCCTAAATAACAAAACATGACCACCTACATTTTTTAAAATTTTATCTAAGCAACTTTCTTAACATTTCACTGAATTTTCTGAAATAACTGAGTACTGTACAATTTTTATATTTTTTGACCTACTCTGTATGCTGTTCGACTTGTAACCATTCTATGTACCTAATATGATTATTGAACATGCACTAACTTTTGCCAATATTTGTATGTTGGTTGTGCAATTAATTAGCAAAACTCCCATATGTTGCACACATAAATGACCACACTGTATAATATAAATAGGTTTGACATTTTCTAGTTCTTTCTGGGCACCATATTATATTGTTGTTCCAGTGGTTTTTTAAATATGTAGGAATGTGATAGCCCTGAAAATGGGTAATTACACAGGTAATTATCACATTGGGTATAGACAATTAAAACATCCTTTCCGAAAATACAGATTTTTATTTAATTTCATTCAGTTTTGAAAATATCTAGTGATTATGTTGTTCCGAATATGAATCCCTTCATTGAAGATGTTGAGAGGTGGCTGATGTTCTGGATGATTTCCTTCGATATCATCCATATCTTGGAAAATGAGATTCTCATCTACTGGAACTCTCCACTTAACACACATATTGTGCAGGATGGAGCAAGCATTAACAATGATTGCCACTTTTTGAGGTCCATACCGAAGTTTTCGTTCCCCTAGGAGACAACGAAAGCGTCCTTTCAAAACCCCATTAACCCTTTCAATACAATTTCTTCCAAGGATGTGGGAATCATTGTAGCACTTCTGAGGTGTATTTGGAAGGGCTCCCTGCACAGGAGTCATTAACCATGGTTCTTGTGGATAACCAGAGTCGCCTAACAACCAAGTATTCCTTTGACCGTTTTCA